TCATCGAACTACATGATCAGGTGCTTGAATTTCAACATAATCTTAATTCCCTAGTGGAAATTTTCTAGGAAACGAACAGAATCACGGAAGTATGAATTGAAGAAAGGGGAGTAATTACCTATTTCCAGTTGTGCTCGTCAACGGCGAAACGAGTAAGGTTAAACTCACGAGTTTTTGCCTTTCTCTCGACGTCCGAAATACAACCGTCCAAAGGCTCCTCCGCCATTTTCGTTTGTGTTTCTTCGTTTCTCTCTCCGAATCTGATCTTCTTCCCGTTCGCTGCTCTGATTTTGATGAACTCCGTCTCCGTTATTATTCCCTCATTTCTAATCATATCATCCCAACGGCATGTTTTACATTTACCTTTTTAAAAAAAATAATTTTACATTTATTTTTTTAACAAAAAATATTTAGCATAAAAAATATTTCAGAAAAATCAGACTCTAAATTTAATTTAAAATAAATATTTATTTATCAGCAAATTTCTCTCTCAAAAATTCATAAAAAAATTATCTTTATAGTTAATAATTCAATAAAAATAATATGATTTAAGAATTATAAAATTAATATTTTTATAGTTTCCAATAATTATATTTATGGCAATAATTTAGTGGTGGATACTTATAAAGGCTCAAGTTTACGCCTTATGTAATTATATAATTCCATGTATTATGGTTAGATTAAAAAAAATGAAATAGTTTCGAAATTAATTTTTACTTTATATAATAATAATAATAATAATTTTAATATTTTAAATTTTTTTGCGGTAATAATATAGTTACTTAATTAATTTTTATTTTAATTAATTATATTGTGAACCCATGTGGTATCATCATTATTTTTACTTAAAAAAATTTTTTTGGTATTAAAATTTTTGAAATAATAATTTTTTAATTTTTAATTTTTAATTTTATTGAATTTTTTTATTAAGCTTTTTCTTTTATATTAAAATTATTCAATGAAATTACTATTATTTTTAATCAATTAAAATTATATATTTATTCTTTATTTTGAGTTAATTCCTTTTTATTTTTATCCTATCTAGTTTTACTCTTTTTTTTTGGTAAATTCATCATTTTTACTTTCTAGTTAAATCATTAATTTACTATTGTTATTTTGAATAGCCTTTTTCCCCCTTTTGTTTTAAGTAATTCATCATTTTTTATAATTAAATTATTAACTTTACTGTTTTTTTCTTCGGACATTCTTTTATCTCTTTTTTTCAAAAAAATATTAATTAACAAAAAGACGTGCTACAATAATAAAATAAGTAAATTACACAAAACACTTCTTTTATATAAATTAATCAAACTACTTTAATTATAAATTCATATGCTTCTTCAATAGGATTTGTAACGGTCCCGGAAATTCGTAATGAAATGTATATTAAAAATATCAAATGCGGAAGCGAAGTCAAAATTTGAATAACATCCCTTACACTAAAACCAAAAGTGTGCTCACAAAATATAAAAGATCAAACTAACTAAAGGAGAAACTTGAAAGTAAAAGCTACGAATGTGACTATGGAGTCTTTAGGCGTCCCCTTCGTCGTCCTCCTGCGGAACCGGCTCGGGAACGATGTCCTCTTTATCTGAAATGATTAAATAAGAAATGACCTACGCTAGCCCAGTAAAGACATCACGATATCTCACCGTCACGGAGGTAAAGGTGGGTAGAAAACACAAAAGACCAATGGAACATAATTTACAACAAATCCTTTTATCGATAATAAAACTTTTACCATTCACTTACCTCGGTGAAATTTATAAAACAATATACGAAAGCAATAACATCATCATTATCATGAAAACCATATATATAAACTGTATAACATAATACCTATCAAGCTTTTCGTAATTCAATCGTCACACAACATATTTTTCCTCATTTACCAGCCCACTAGTATCCATGGGGATCCATAGGGGTCCCGCTACCCGTTAACCCTTAACACTTGAAATCATATTCCAGGGCCGTCCCCATACCCCGTCCGGTATGGGCGCCAAAAATACATAAGATCTCCATACCCCGTCCGATATGGGAGACCACAATCCCAGTAGGGTTCCCTACGGACCCGGTCCGTCCACCATCTCCCAGGATATCTAGTCAGGCTGACCACATTATACAATTATCCATTTACATAATCTATCATTCTCTTTTTCCTCAGTCAGTATCATCAATCCACATACAAACAAACAAAACAGTACTTTATGCCAAACAGACAACATACAGTATCAATATCCTGGTCATTCAATCCATAATCAATAAAACAGTAAAATATGCACACGAAACTATAAAATAAAAACATCGAACCTCATGCTGCATTTAAAACTGTAAAACAGGCCAAATAACAGTTAACCGACAAACACACTAGACTCGGGCTCCATTAGTGACCTTAAGCAATTTCACACATTCGTTGATTTATGAAATACCGTTTTATCATTTACTGAACTTTAAAACCGTGATAGGAAATAGGGTGAGGGGTCCTTACTCGTTTCGGGGTCCGAACACGGCTTCACAGTGCGCTTGCAGGCTGTCCCTAATTTTTCCTGAATTTTTCCTGGGGAACTGAAACGCACTACAGGTACCTGCACGTGTTCCAAAAAATCCCAAATTAGGCCTAGGGCCCCTTTCGGCCAATATCGCAACTCCGGCACGGCGGCTCCGCCGTGCTCCGGCGATGGTGCCGCCGCTTGCGGCGGCGGTTCGCCTCGGGTTGGCCGTTTTCGGCCGTTTCTGGCCGAATTCGGCCACACTCGCATTGGTTCCTACGATAAAACAACCCTACGGCCCTCAGGGGGCCAAAAATTTACGAAAAACCGAAGCTTACCGGCGGCGGTGCTTTCGGGTGCGGCGGCTCTCCGGTGAAGTTCGTGTTTTGGTGATTAGGCTCTGATCAACCTGTAGAGAAAAGAATGGTGATCACGGTGATATAAAAATTGCATTAAACGGAGGCCGGGAAGGGCCTCATCGGAGGCAAAAACGAGAAGGGGCGCGGCGGCGCCGCTGGCTTTTGACCGTGTTTTCCGGCCGTTTGGCCGGAATTTTGACTCCGATTTGGCCACTGGGGAAATCAGCGTGGAAAAACGAGTCGGGGGTATGAAATTTACCTCGATCGGCGGTCGAAAATCCCTCCGGTGCGGCGGCGGGTGGCGGCGGCCGGCTTCTGGTTCGTCTTCTCCGGCGAGGGCAGGCGGCTAGGGTTTGGGGTCTGGTGTGGGGGTCTTATTTATACCCTTTTGCCTTTTGATCTCAGCCGTTCATTTTGATTTAATCCGGGCCGTCCGTTTTTGATTAAATCTGTGCCGTCCGTGCGATTAAATCTGGGCCGTCCGTGCCCGCGATTGATCTGGGCCGTCCGATCGCGCGCACACGGATCGCCAACGTGGCCCGACCCCGGTCGACGTGGTTTTGCCACGTGGCAGGTCCTGGTTGGCCAGGCCTGCTGACTGGGTCTGTTGACGTGGCTGCTGACGTGGCACGCGCATTTTTTTTTTTTTTTTTGTTTTTCCGGGCGCTAGATTACCAAAATATTCGAGTTTCTTCGATCGAAAAAAATTATATTTTATTAGAATCTCATAATCTAATATTCTTGGAGAAAAACATCTCACGTAGCCAATTCAGTCACTCAAAACTCTTCTTATTCTTCTTGGATAAAATTTATCTAAAGACAACCTATCAACGTTGAATTTCTAAGATCTTACTAGTGACTTCTCTAAATTTATTTCTAAGATCTTACTAGTGACTTCTCTAAATTTATAGTTTCACTTGTTTTGACTTTCTCTGTTCCAATATTGAAATAAAAAATATATATGTATACGTATATTTTTAAATTATTCTTGCATAAAATTATTAAGTACATGCATATTTTATATATAAATATTTTAACTTAGTCGTTCATCTTCTATGTTTTTCTCTTTCCGTTTGCAAACCTTATCTGTCATTATCGCCACACTCTCATTTGGCCTCCCATTTCTAAACTTAGCAGCCACTAATACCAAGTTTAGTCTCCTATTTCCTACTCTTCCATGCCACGTTCAGCCTCTCATCTCATGTTCTTCCATGTTTAACCTCTGATCTCCAAACCCAGGTATCGTGTTTGCCATATTTGGTCTCCCACCTCCTGCTCTTCCATGTTTAACCTCTCATCTCTAAACCAAGATATCGTGTTTACCATATTTCGTTTCCCATCTCTTACTTTTCCATGCCAAATTTGGCCTCTTGTCTCCAAACCTTAACCAATTTTAAGAAGTCTTTACTATTCGATTTTTTGTCCTATTATTTTTAAGAATGTTATAAATTAGACAACTAAAATACTAAATTGAAGTTTTTGTTCAATAAAATTCTATTTGGAAAGTTAATTTTGCTATTTACACTTTATTACAATATATTTTATTCTAACAATATTACTCTAGTAATAACTCTCTCAAAAATAATTATGTTAGTAATTTCATATTTCACTTTTAAAATTAAAAAAAAAAATCAATTTTCACCAATTAAATTATTTTATTATGTTCAATATAAATTTAGTATATCATAAATTATTTTGTGTACCACTAAAATGAAACTCGATCATGTGTCTATTTAATAGGTTTGAGCACATAATATAATTCTAAAATAAGAGTCATTTGTCCACTAATCATTTCCTCCTTATTAGGCGTAAGTGAGTAAATTTTTAGGTTATGTACAAACTTATTACAAGTGGGTATAGGTCCTTATAAAAAAACATATGTAACATTTAAAAAAAAAGTATACATATAACATGTAATGACAAATTTTCACTAATAAAATTGGTACTATCTGGACTACTTCAATTTTTACAGAAACTTTTTTTTACAGTAATTCATTTAATAAAAAAAATTGGCAGAAGCATTGCCAGTGATATAAGATTCTATAAATTATGGTATAATCTCTATAAAGATGCGCTATACAGAAAATCACCACTAGATGCATTCAAGATGGTTAAATCTAATTAATATTGGAAAGGGAAAAACATCGGATGATTTTCCCTCAACATTTACAAACATATAGGTAGATACACACATAGATATATTGATATATATATATATATATATATCTCTCTCTCAAAAGAATACTTCTCAATTTTAACTATCACCCAGTAAAATATCAAGATGCATGCCATTTTTGAAACAAATGGATGTTCTTCTTGTGAAATTTTATTTAAAAATTTGTATTTGATTTAGTAATGAGAGTATAAAAATTTAATTTTAAAAACTGAAAGTCTAACTTCTGAAGTTAAAAATTTTCAATTTTTATTGTTGAACTTTCATTCTCTTGTAGTTGACTCAAAATATAAATTTTTAAAATAAATTTCACTTAAGATAATTCATATATTTCAATCATACCTCATAATTATTTGCTTCTTTACCGAGCTAATTAGCATCGCCAAGAAGCGTGAATTCCTCTAAGCTCCTGAAATTCTCCCAAAGCCTCACCCAGACCTTGGCCTGGTACACCTTCGTCGTGTGCCCGTCCGAAGCCTCCAAAGTAATGTAGTACCTCATGCCTCCAACAACTTGCTGCTTTACATTCACAATCTTCTTGAACTGGAGCAACGCATTCTGCAACATGCCCATCTCGAAATTTATTATTACAAGTCGAGACATAAAATGTTCAGAGCTGATAAAAATCGAATATTCAGTTGCCCAATTAGATATAAAGACAGTGTAGCGTATAATATTGTTAATAAAGTAATCTAAGGTTAATCCTTTCTACAGTTTGGATTCTTGAATTGTGTAATCAAGTGAAAAATTTCTAGACTAGGGAGGCAATATATGTCCCTGATAGGCAATGACTATCAGGAGCTCCCCAGTTCTCTGTTTCCTCAACTTCAACAGGATGAACACTTTATTCAACTAAATGATAGTGAAAATTCCAGTTTGTATTGAATTTCACATGAAACTCTATCCAATAAATGTTTTTCTTATCATTCTAATATAATTTGGATCATAAACAGATATGAACTTGCAGATAAATTTTATGACATTTATAAATTTAGTTCAAACATAGCTATAGTAAACTTGAACTCACAAAAAATAAGCCAGTAACATACATCCTTACAATTAAGGATTATGATTGTTATGACTGTCTAACCTATAGGCAGTATTAGTAGAAATTCAACAGAATAACTAAATCAATATCACCAAAATTTTTGTACAACAAAAAAAAAGTCTCTAGAGCATCTTTTCTTTTCTATCTATGCGGAATTCGCGATGGAATGTCACAAATCTATTTATAGGTTAGAGACCTTCGGTATCTTCTATCATGATTTCTTCATCTACTGAACATAGAGTCGGTAGCCTATTATAAGCATAAGATTACCTCTGTGGAAAAAGATTTAGACAAAATAATTGCTCATGTGCACAGGACGATGATGACTTCAATACTGTCAAATTACAATATAATTGAGAAATCACCGATGAGTTACCTGCAACTATTTCCTTCTTAGGTTGTTCATGGATTAATTTTTGATTAATTTCCTTTTTCTCGTACAAACTACTTAGAAGGAAACGACTCATATATAAAGCATCAAATCTTACAATATCAAGGTTAACAACTCGAACTAATTGCAGAAGAAAGAAACAACAGAAACTGCTGAAAAATTTTGGAGAAACAAGTACATACATACATTTATATAAGCTATCAGCTGAAGATTTTAATTAAGCTAACAGAACTCCTGTTTGCCGATATATAAAATTGTATGTTTATAGTTATTATCTCGTCGAACTGCATGATTAGATGCTTGAATTTCAACATTATCTTAATTCGCTAGTAGAAATTTTCTAGGGAAACAAACAGAAAGCAGGAAGAAAGAATTGAAGAAAGCAGAGTCACTACCTCTTTCCTGTTGTGCTCATCGACGGCGAACCGAGCAAGGTTCTGGAACTCAAGACTGTTAGCATTTCCCTCGACGTCCGTAATACCACCGCTAATAGATCCCTTCATTTTCTTTTGTTTTTCTGTGTTTCTCTCTCCGAATCTGATTTTCTTCTCGTTTGCTGCTCTGATTTTGGTGACCTCCGTAACCGCTAGCATTCCCGTATTTAAAGGATGAGTAGGCCTAAACCAGAGAGCTGAAAATACCAAAAAGTACATGTCTAACATGAAAAAAAGTTTTTCACACTTAAATTCTTTTCCTTATTTAAAACTTCTTTTTCTAATCATAAAATCACGTTTAGATGTGTTTTTGTAACAGAAAAAAAGGTTACCGAACTTACTAGTTGAGATTCTGTAACGAATTTTTCTTGAATTTGTGTCGATTTTTGGGGAGGAGAATAGGAGAACGGAGAAATGGCTGTTCTGAAACGCAGTGATAACTGGAGGAGGAGAAAACAGTCTGAAAAGAGTGGCCATCACCACAGAGAGACAGAGAGAGATGTAAAAGGAAGAGGCAGGAGGTGGAAAGAGAGAGAAACAGGGAAAGAGAAGACAGAAAAAGATGCCTTTTGGCGCAACTTTAAAAATGGAGGTATTTCTGGTCAAGTGAAAATTATAATTTAGAGGGAATATACGCTTGAAGAGTAACTTAAAAGATTATTAATTTATTAATTGCAATTTAAATAAAATTTATCTTTTAATTAAATATAATTTATATTTATTTTTTAAATATATAATATATAAAAAATTAGTGACAATTTATTTTTTAAAAAATTTAATTTATGTTTATTTTTTTAAATAGTGATATTAATTTAAATATAAATCTATTTGAATGCATATTAAATTATTAATTTTTGAAATTAATGAAACTAATAAAAATTTAAGTCTATTTTATTTAGAAAAACTCAAATAATATAAAATAAATTCTATTTATTGTATTTTGCACCATATCCAACAATTTATTAAAGAAAAATCTAAGTGTTCATAATTTTTTCTTATGAATATTGTATAAGAGGCCTGCGAAATCATTAGAGTTTGAGAAAAACACTTGTAAAATAAAATTTGTGTAGGATTTGTTGAAGAATCATAAATTTAAGTGATGATTTGGAGAAAAGATCGTAAGCACAAAATCGACAACAAACTTTTATAAAATTGAGTATATAATCCCTATACTTACGTGTTTTTCTGGTTGGGTTTATTACTTTATAAATATTAATTATTTAAAATTAATTTAAATTAATTTAAAGTTTTAAAAACCCAATTTACCAAATTATTTAATAAATTTCAACCACCGATAACATTTATATTAAGATTGGAATTAAAAAAGAATTGAAAATAGTTGTATGATGAAGTGGAGGCACGCGGGTCGTCCGATCACACATGTTTAGAAAATTCATCTGCATCGTTCGATCCGGAGAACGTGGAGGTACGTGGGTCATTTGATTGAACTCATTTAAGAAATCAATTTAGGTCATTTGTGCGCAAAAGTGGTCATGAGCCGTCTGATTGATCTAACATGCAAATTTGCGACGTGGGCTTCCCGCGCAGAACCCATGTTGATGTGGCATATCACGATTCGCTATATTGCTGACATGACTGTCCTACATAGTCCGTTTCTTTTAATTTATAAAGTAACTTCATTTATAAAGGAGAAATATTTTATTCATAAATGGGATATAAATGTAGAACATAAATGTATTAGAATAAATTTTATGGAAATAAGAATGATAGATGAGAGCAGAGAGATTGAGCGAAAAGAAGATGAACAGCACGATTCGAGGAGGATTAGGAGGAGGAATCCTCGTTGGAAATCCTCGGGGTCGAGAAGGAAGGACAACTGCTGTAGACGAACATTCATTCAGTAACAAGAGGTAAGATCGATTTGCTCTTACAACACGAATTCGAAATAGGTGCGAATAAATTCCTTAAATCGCCAAATGATAAACTGCTTATGATTTCTGGTGTATATAATATGTGCATCGATGATTGATGGTGTTAAAATTGATAAAAAAATGTTAGTAAAATTTTGATCGTTTTAACCCGAAAGAAAACTAGTATGCTGAAATTTTAAGTGTATCATCTGCCGTAAATTTTAGTAGTCTCTGGAATAGTATGGGAGTACATGGTGTTGAATGAAGAGATCTGAAGGGTTAACACAAATTCATAGGAAACGGCATCGTACTAGGAAGAGTGTAGGAATTCATCTTGCCTCCTATTGATTTAAATTATGAACTGCCTGAACTGAATTCTATTTGGCCGGGTGAAAGGGGTAGGATGATACTGCAGAATGGTAAAACATAAAGTAAATGCCAGCGAGTTACCATTTGTATTTAAGATTATTGAATCTATACTTACAAGAGATTCGAAAACAATCACGACGAATTGTGAAGTATCATTTGCAGAGCAGATGATGGCATGGAATTACAAGAAGTGGAATTTAGAATACAAGGATAATCCATGATTTCTCATGCTTTCATGTTTTAGTTTAACAGCAGCTAGATAATTTACATGATTTCTTTCAAGACCTTTCAGCTGTATGCATACTGTATTTCAACTTACAAATCAAATTATGTATATAATTATACATATCTATTTTTGAATGTGTGTATATACATATATATATATATATATATATTTCTAAAATCACCCTTGCATAGATTTGATAATTATACATATATTGTATATATAGATTAGATAAGGGTAGGGGAGGAGTCTTTCATCCTATTGCCTGAAGAAGGTTATAAATTAGATAACTGAAATACTAACCCAAAGTTTTTGTTAGATGAAATTTATTTCCATTCGGAATATCATACATTATCGGGTCATCGGCCCACTCGTTATTTCCTCTTTATTACGAGTAAATTTTTAAATTTTATGTAAATTTATTACAAGTGACTAAACTATTTATTAAAAAAAAAAGATCTTAAATTGATAGAGACATATACAAACACGTAATAACAAACTTTCAGTGATAAAATTACTACTATTGGGACTCAATTCTTATTGAGACGTTTTTTTTTCTCTCTAGAGTAATTCATTTAATAAGAAAATGGCAGAAACAGTAGCAACATTGAAGTGTGAATAACATTCTATAAACCATGATATGATACTCGAATAAATGTATCACATTTACAAACATATTACACACATAGATATGCTGATATATATCTATCGAAAGAAAGCTCTCAATTTAAATATCACACAGTAGAATATCGAAATGGATTTTTTTCGTAAAATTTTATTTCAAAATTTGTATTTGATTTAGTTATTGAGAGAATAAAGATTAAAACTGAAAATCTAACTCCAAAATTTTTTGAAAGTAATACAATTAAAATTCTTTTGGAGTTAAAAATTTTCAATTTTTATTATTGAATTTTTATTCTCTCACATCTAAATCAAAATACAAATTTTAAAAATAAGTTTCACTCGAAATAATCCATTTATTTCCATCATAACCCACAATTATTTACTTCATTACTGAGCTAATTAGCATCACCAAGAAGCGTGAATTCCTCTAAGCTCCTGGAATTCTCCCAAAGCTGCACCCAGACCTTGGCCTCGTACACCTTCGTCCTGTGACCCTCTAAAGCCTCCAAAGTGATGTAGTACATCATGCCTCCAACCACTTGCTGCCTTACATTCACAATCCTCTTGAACTGGAGCAAAGCATTCTGCAACATGCCATCTCTAAATTTAATATTGCAAATCGAAACACAAAATACCCAGAGCTGATAAAAATTGATATACGGTTGCCCAATTAGATATAAAGACAGTGTAGCCTCTAATATTGTTAATATAGTAAACTAAGGTTAGTCCTTTCTATAGTTTGGATTGTTAAACTGTGTAATGAAGTGAAAAATTTACTGACTAGTGAGGAAATATATGTCCCTGATGGGTAATGACTGTATCACGAGCTACACAGGTTACTGTTTTCCCTCCTTCGACGGGATGAACACTTATTCAACTAAATGATAGTGAAGATTTCGAGTTCATATCGAATTTCATTTGAAATTTTATCCAATGAATTGTTTTTTTATCATCCTAATATAATTTGTATTGAAAATAGATATGAATTTGCAAGTAAATTTTACGACACTTGTAAATTTATTGAAATATATCACTTACAACTAAGGACTATGATTGTTATGATTGCCTAACCTGTATCTATAAGAAGTATTGATACGAAATTCAACAGAATAACTAAATCTATATCACCAAAATTTTGTGTGTATCCTACATTAGAAAAAGTTTCTACGAGAATCTTTTCTTTTCTATCTATGCTGAATTCGTGATAGAATATCAAAAATCTATTTATAGGTTAGAGACCTTCAATCCTTCCAGCATGATTTCTTCATCCACATTTTCATTTAATTGTTAGTGGAACTGGCCATAGAGTCTGTAGACTATTGTAAGCATAAGATTACCTCTGTGGAAAAAGATTTAGATAAAATCTTTTCTTATGTGCACAGAACGATGATTACTTCGATACTGTCAAATTACAGTATAATTGAGAAATCACAGATGAGCTGCCTGCAACTATCTCCTTCTTAGGTTGTTCATGTATTAATTTTTGATCAATTTCCTTTTTCTACGTACAAGCTACTTAGAAGGAAACGACTCTGATATAAAGCATCAAATCTTAGAAAAATATCAAGGTTAACAACTCGAACAAATTGCAGGCGAAAGGAACAAAAGAAAGCGGTGAAGATTTTGGAGATGCAGGTACACAAGTACATAGACATATATAAGCCATCAGCTGAAGGTTTTAATTGGCTTAACAAAACTCCTCTGTTTGCTGACATATAAGTTGTAAGTTTATAGTTATGATTATTTCATCGAACTACGTAATTAGGTCTTTGAATTCCAACATAATTTTAATTCGCCAGTGGACGTTTTCTAGGGAAACAAACAGAAAGCAGGAAGAAAGAATTGAAGATAGAAGAGCAATTACCTCTTTCCTATTGTGCTCATTGACGGCGAACCGAGCAAGTTCCTGGAACTCAAGACTGTTAGCATTTCCCTCGACTTCCGAAACACCACCGCATATAGGTCCGTGCTCCATTTTCTGTTGTTTTTCTGTGTTTTTTCTCTCTCCGAATCAAATCTTCTTCCCGTTTGCTGCTCTGATTTTGATGACCTCCATGACCGGTAGTATTCCCATATATATAAGGATGAGTAGGCCTAGACCAGAGGGCTGAAAAGACCAAAAAGGACACGACTAACAAAATAGTATTACCATGAAAAAAGTTGTTCATACTGAAATTCTTTTCCTTATTTAAAAGTTATTTTTCTAATCATATCATCACGTTTAGATGTGTTTTTGTAACAGGAAAAATGTGTTTAGGGTGAAATTATTTAATATTTATTTAAATATTTATTTATTTATTAGGATATGTTAATTCTTATCTCTTTTAAAAAATATTACATGG